GGCAGCTCCACGTGCCTCGCCAGCCTCTGCGGAGCCGCTCCTGCTCCTGGACCCGGAGTGGGTTCGTGGTGTCCCGGCTTTGCCGTGCCTGCCCGCTCCGCGTGCGGCGGGATGCGGCAGCGCAGCAGTGCGGATGGTGCCCACTCAGAGCAGATGTCCCCATGATGTGGGTGGCATCAACAGCTGATGGAGGGGGACTCCAGAGCACTGAGGTGCTGTCCCCTGTTCTGAGGATAACCCAGTCCTGAGTGCAGGCTGGATCAGAGGAGCCGCGTGGACTGTGTGATGCTGAGTCTCCGTGGATGGTGTGGGGTGAACCATGATGCTGCCAGGCTGGGCATGCAGCCAGCAGTGCTGTTCATCCAGCCCCAGTCTCCACTGTGGCTCATGCCAGGTTCCTGTTTGCCTGTGCAGGGTGTTCATGCTCACTTGCCCATCTCCTGGTTCTTTGCAGGTTGCTGGTCAAGTTCCCAGAGCTGAACTATCAGCTGAAAATTAAAGTCTGCATTGACAAGTGAGTCCTGTGATCCTGGTGTTGAGTGGATGGAGTGTCTGGGATGGGGCTTGCTGCTCCCTGGGCTGTTCGTGCTGCCATCAGATCTCCATTCCTGTGCCAAGGGCCAGCGTGACTCTGAGTAAAGGGGATTAGCAGGATCTGGCACAGGGTGGAAGGGTCCCAGGGTTCAGCATCCAGCACAGGGCAGAGCCTGGGGGTGCAGCTATTGCTGCACAGCAGCTCCTTTAGTGCTGCCCTTTGTGCTCCTGTGTCCATGCGGAAGGCTGGCACCTGACCGGGCTCTCCCCTCTCTCCTAGGGACTCCGGGGATGTTGCAGCCCTGCGGGGGTAAGTGCAGTGCCGCTTTTTGGCTCTTTATAACCTGGTGTACTGTGTTCGCTGAGGAGCTGTCGGTCACGCTGTGTCTTTGCTCTTCCCAGGTCACGGAAGTTTAACATTCTGGGGACAAATACCAAGGTGATGAACATGGAGGAGTCCAACAACGGCAGCCTCTCTGCAGAGTTCAAGCACCTGGTGGGTACAGGGAGCCCTCGGGGCTGCTCCGAAGCCCTTGGGCCTGGGGAGCTGCTTTAGCTGTTTCTTCTCTTTGCAGACGCTGCGGGAGCAGCGATGTGGCAATGGAGGGAGAGCCAACTGCGACGTAAGTGCTGAGCCGGGGCCGCGCCGGGGAAGGGGCCCTGCTCAGGAGAGGCTGCCAGCTCTGCTTGGAGCACCCGTAGCAATCCCCTGCCATCCGCCAGCTCCGAGCCTCAGTCTGCATCAAGCAGCTAAACCGCAGAAAGGGGAAGTGTGGGCACTGCTCGCAGCGGGTGTTGGCGGGCACCATCCGATGTGCTGGCAGCTGCCAGACCAGCAGCAGAGACCTTAGCAGCAGCGCTGGCCCCAGTGGCCGTGTGTCCCCTGGGGGAGGTGTCTGCGGGGTGCCCACTGTGCCCTCGTCTCCCCAGGCCTCGCTGATCGTCACCGAGGAGCTGCACCTCATCACCTTTGAGACAGAGGTCTATCACCAGGGGCTGAAGATCGACCTGGAGGTGAGTTGTGGGCTCCTGCAGGCCAAGGAGGAGAGGGCTGAGCTGGAGGGGTGCCGTGGCTGTACCTGGCTGGGGACAGTCCTGGAGAACAGAGCAGGTGGCACCGGTGAGGTGTCCCAGCCTGTTGTTGCATCCTGTCTTTGCAGACCCACTCGCTGCCCGTTGTGGTCATCTCGAACATCTGCCAGATGCCCAATGCCTGGGCCTCCATCCTGTGGTACAACATGCTGACCAACAACCCCAAGGTAGGGTGGGCAGAGATGCCCTGCAGCATTCGGGGCAGCTGCCCCAGCACCCAGGCTGCAGCAGAAGGAGGAAGCGATGGGAAAAGCCATGGCCCAGCAGGGCTCCTTGGGGGTCTGGCCCCACCTGTGCGCGATGCCCTGCTCAGGGCTGCGTTTCCTTGTGCAGAACGTGAACTTCTTCACGAAGCCGCCCATCGGCACCTGGGACCAGGTGGCGGAGGTGCTGAGCTGGCAGTTCTCTTCCACCACCAAGCGCGGTCTCAGCATCGAGCAGCTGACAACACTGGCAGAAAAACTTCTAGGTAAGCACCGTCCTGGGTGCCCTGCTTGTCCCTCCGGGGTGACTTCCGTGAGAACCATTTGTAAATGCGATGTGGTAGCAGCGTTGCATGGTTTGGGAAGAGAGCTTTACTTTTTAATTGCTTGGTTTTCCCTGAAACACTGCAAACTTGGGTTGCTGCATGGGAGAGCAGCTCTGTCCAAATGTTGATGCTCCTGTTTTTCTTTGCCAGGGCCAGGTGTGAATTACTCCGGCTGTCAAATCACCTGGGCCAAGTTCTGCAAGGTATAAAGCCCCTTTCCTCCCCCGTGCCCTCCCTGGGCTGTCCACTGCCCAGGCTGCACTCACAGCCTCGCTGCTCTGTTCCTCAGGAGAACATGGCTGGCAAAGGCTTCTCTTTCTGGGTCTGGCTGGACAACATCATCGACTTAGTGAAGAAATACATCCTGGCGCTGTGGAATGAAGGGTGGGTGAGCTGGGCTGGTGACCCCTGTCCCGAGGGTGGCGGGGGTGTCTTCTTGGGTACAAGCACTGGGTTTTCCCGGGATGCCTCTTCATCCCAGACCCTGTTGGCTGGTTCCAAGCAAAAAAACCTTTCCCGACACCTGGGAATGTCTAAAAGCTCTGCTGAGGGTGAGGCCAGGCCCTGTGGCTGCCTGAAGCTGTGAAGTGCGGAGAACTGGCTGGACTCGTGTTTTAGAGTTGGTGCCGCAGTGGTCCCACACCCTG